GCTCTCTGCCAGAGATGACGAATGGGCAAAGCGATTTGCTGTGTCCTTCTCCTCCTCTCCCTTCCCCTGGCTGCCCCTCCACCCGTTCATTTTTAGGCTAAAGATTTTTAGGCCTGCGGGGCTCTCCTGATGGGGTGGAGGGCTGGTAGTGTCCCACAAATGGCTGACCGCTCGGCGTCTGCTGTGAGCGGTGGCAGGGGGTAGGGCCTGAAGAGGGGCCCATGGAGTCAGATGCTCAGATGTCTCCATGTGCCCGTGAAGCCGGAGGGATCACAAGCCACTGGGCTGTGTCAGGAAGGGCACAGCTCCCTGGTTTGGTTCTTCTAGAAGGTTTTCGTTTATTTTGTTTGCATTTGCGAGGGGGGTGCCTTTCCCTTTTTTCCCCTTTTCCCTTTCCTTTTCCCTTTCCCTCCTCTCCCCCAAAGTGCATTACAGGGAAAAAATCATCCCTACCGGCACACCTCACTTATTCCCCGGGCAAGTGCTCATAACACTTTCCAGCCTGGTTACAAGAGCTGTCCCTCCTTAGGATGGTAAGCAAAGCCAGGTGAGGCTCAAGGAAACCTAGTGCAAGAAGGAAAAAAAACCCACAGTATTTCCTCCAAAATAAGCTGCTGAGAGAAAAATCTTTTAGAAAACACCTGCCAACCCCCAGCTTTGGGTGGTGGGGTAACCAGCTCTCCTGTACCTTCAGCGCTAGGGTGTCTGACTACCTGGAGCAGACTCTGTTTCCCTTGTATCTGTCACGATATTGGTGAGTACCCCTTAAGCGTATGGGTGTGAGCAGGTTTTGCACAGCCCTTTGTGTCCTCCTGGGGTCAGCCAGGTGGACAGAGCAGTGGGATTTGCTGTACTTGAGCAAGTTTTGGTAGGCTTTCCTCTTTCTGTTTTGGTGGAGAAGGTGAGAGGATTGATTAGACCTGCAGTGGGTCACCTGGTGGCTGCTGAATTTCCCGCTGAATGTTTTGAAATGGCTGGAATTTGGGTTCAGAATGAAAAATGCAGGGCAGGATTTGGGGGCAGATGTTAACTGATTCAGGCCAGAGCTGCTGATACTGAATTTTAACAGGGTCCTGTCCAATTCATTTATCCTATTCATTTAGTCGATGCCACCTAAAAAGAGCGGATGTCTTGAAAAAGGTGCAGGGCTCAAGGGTTTATTTGATTACTAAAACTATTGTTTCTGAAGATGGATGAAGATAACGTGCGTGCTTTCCCCCCAGCAATGTCAGGAGATGTAACATTATTCATCCAGCAAAGGGGAATGGGTCTTCTGGACCCTGTCTGACTATCCACTAAACAAGCATGTATTTTTGGACAAGTTGTGGGACAGCTGTACCTCAGTTTCCCAATCTGTAAAATGGTACCATCCTCCTCTGGAAAGCACAATTCACTGCTTGCAAAACACTTTCAAGCCCTTACATGAAAATCTGCACAGCCATGCAAGGCAGCATATGCAAACGTGTTTTTTTCTGTTCCTTGGTAACAAAACCCCAGAGAAATGATGTAAGCTGCTGTATCCATATTAAACTCAGTGTCACTGGCCTCAGTGATGCTTGTTCTGCAACGATGTGATTTTTGGCCCTCCGTACATGCTGAGCAGCATTGGAGTTGAATATCTCGTGGATGCTGAGCCTCCAGAACAACTGCTTAGAGTCTCTTGGCTTGTGAGAAAGGATCTTGCTTTAAGTAAGGTGAGATTTGCCATGAAACGCAGGAAAGCCGTGGATACTTTTTCCACAGATGCTGGGTGAGGTTTCAGCTATGTGTGTTGGTGCAAAAACACCTCATGGTGCCAAAGCAGCAACGCGAATTGACTCCCTACAGTAAGGTTATTGCATGGCCTGCCCTGCCCTGCCCTCTCCGTGTTTCTTTTTAAATTAGCTTGGGTGTAATAGCCCCATGTTAATCATGCCTCGCAAGTATTGCTAAATTGCAGACTCCTGACCTTTGATTTGAGCCAAAAATTAATAGAGGTTTGGCTGGTATTTCCCCAACAAATGCCTCTATAAAATGAATTTGGAGTGATTCTCGTCTATGCCACTGCAGATGAGAATTAAAAGGGATGGCGGGGTGGCCCGTGCGGTGGGAGGAGGGACCATGGGCTGGAGGCAGGACTGTGATTTCCTACAGTCTTATTGATACCTAGGTCCTGGCATGGGAGAAGGTACCCAAAGCCCTTTCCTTTCATCGTCATGCTGAGACCTGCCCTGGAAAACACTTGGCAAAGCCGAGAAGCTTGGATGCTGGGTAAAACCGAGAGGAGTAGGTATTTTCCTTGCAAAGAAAGGTCTACCACTCCAGCAAGCTTTTTTCCGTGTTTTTTTTTTCCTATCTCCTTCCCTTCAGCTGGAGAAATGTAAGTTTCTGTCCCTCTTCAGAGGATGTGTGCTGGACACACACGGGCTACAAAACCAACATATAGCTGGTGTTTGCTGTTGGAAGAGATCCTCAGTCTCTTGGTGCTTCCTTTGCTAACGAAGGCTTAAGTGCACCTTCCGCAGGCTGTAGCGGGGTGCTTTGTGTATCTTTTGATTGAATGGGGCTGTGCTTTTTGCCGGGGCCTGCAGGTCTCCCCAGTGGTCCTTTTCAACAGAGAATAAAGTGTGTTTTATTTGAAGCCTGCATAACCTTTAACATGGTTCATTCTTCCTCCTTCCTCCCCTGGGAAAAAAGGCACTGCGAGTTGACCGGAGCCTGACCATCCCCTGGCTGATCCCCAGGGGAAATTTTCAAGGGAAATTTCTGTCTCCAGAGACTCAGCATCTTCAACAAATCTCAGGAAAGACCTCACTGTGGCTTAGCTTCTGAGATTTGCATCAATGCTCCCGTTCATCAGAGAGCAAGAATGAGCCATGCATCAAGTTTTGGAGCCAAGTAGCATCAGCATTTTTAGTGGAGCATAGCTTTGGAAGAGAAAAGCCTTACTATGAATAATTAAGGGCTGGGGAAGCATCAAGCTCTCAGAGGGCTCTGCTGGCGTTTCCTTCGAAGCGGATGGCTGGGTTTCCGTGAAGTGCTCTTGTGGAGGAGTCAAACTACACACAGGGTGCTGGTGGTGGGTTGTGTGGTGGGTTGTGTGGTTTGTGAATCCAGCCTTTTTACGGTGGCTTTAGGTAATCTGGAGGCAAACGTGTATAATCGAGGTGGAGGGAATTTCTGTCTAATCAGCCATAGACACAGGCTTTCTTTTTCCTCCCCCTTCCTCAGAAGAGATGAGTAGGTATGGTGCAGGCTTATGCTAACGGGTACAATTTCGTAGGAGTTTCATAGTCTCACTTACAGCATCTATTAAGCTTATTGCAGAAGTGCATCTTTTAAACATGAGTTACCCCTGTATTGTCTGATGAGAGAGAGGAGGCTTTTGTAAGCACGCAGGTAGGTAGCGCTGTGTCTCTGCTCCCGCTGTCGCACTGGAGGAGCTGAAACGAGCAGTTGAGGCAATATTTCGAAGCTGGTGCTGAAGGACACAGGAGTTGACTGACTTGTGTGCTGGTCAGCAGCACACAAGACTTCTGAGTACTTCAGAAAGTGGGATCCTGTTTCTTTGTGCCTTTTCTTTTCTGTTTGTTTGGGAAGAAGCCTATAACAGTGATGTCCTTCTGATCTTCCTTTTTTGTGCTTTTAGTACTGTTGATGTGACTGCTGCACAGCCTTTGGGCGATCTCTTCCTCAATCTTGCTATTTAACCCCAAACAAGAGGCAGGGGGATTGTTTTCATGAGTGAATTGTTGTAATATCTCTTCACTTCGTTATCATACATATTTTGTGCAGAAGCAATTTTGCTTCTTGAGTTTACTTCTTTGTTAAGTTACTGCGTGATACAGGCTGTAGGATGTCCAAACTACGGGTTTGCTGATACGCATGACAAGTCAGCACTATTGGCCAACCCTCTGCATTTAGAAATGGAAAAGGCTGTATGAGAAGTGTCTTCAGATGCTCTCTTGTTTTGCAGATACTGTAGCAAATGCTTCAGGTCCTTTACTAGTTGAAATAGCGAAGGCTCCGGGGTCTACGCTAGGAATCACACTGATGACAACCACACACCGGAACAAGCAGGTCATTGTCATCGACAAGATCAAGCCGGCCAGCGTGGTGGACAGGTACAGATCTGAACAGGCTGCTCCTAGCTCTGCTTTTCCTTTCTCCGCTGCTTTTTTGTCTCCTTGTTAGTTATATACCATTCTTCCCTGCCTCACCTTGAAATGGCCATGTCTTAGCACTAAGCATGCTAAAAATATTTGACCCAACACCAGTGGACGCTCCTCACCGAGAATGAATGTAATGTGCATGTGAAAGCTGAGCTCTGTTTTAAAAACCTCATATCTGACTGCCCTCGAGCTGTGGAATGGCAAACACCTATTCTGGAGACTTCTGGCTAGAGCCTTTTCCTGATGGGCAAGTCAGCTTTTACATCCCTTTTACACAGGGATGCGGAAAGACAGACCGTGATGCAGCCCTAGCTGTGGTTGGTCGTGTTGCTGAGCTGAACTGCTGGCTCGTAGGACTTAACTACACTGCGGGGTGAGCCCTCGGCCATCCATACTGGCTATGAGTGGGTACTATTAAAAATGTAAAAGATCCTTCCTAAGCCACCAGCAGCACTGACTCAAGCATGAACCGTCTCAGTTGGTATTTTTGGGTAACGCTTGAACCTAAGGTTCAAATTGGAAGTAAAAAAAAAATGAGATATGAAAAAAAATTCACATGAATTCACATGATAATTCACAATTGGATTTTGCATGTTTCTGCTCCCAACTGTAAGGACGTGGATTTTGGCCATGTGTATAATTACCTCTCTTGCTGTTTCCTTTGCAGATGTGGCGCGTTGCATGTTGGCGACCATATTCTCTCCATTGATGGCACGAGCACAGAGCACTGCTCCTTATTAGAGGCAACTCAGCTTTTAGCTGCCACTTCAGAAAATGTCAAGCTGGAGATATTACCTGTTCACCAAAGCAGGCTGCCTTTGAAGCCTCCAGAAACAGGTGTGTCCTCCGTGCAAACACTGTTGGTTGCCCTCAAAACTCACTTGAGGTCCCTGTTGGGCTTCTTGCTGCTTTTGAATGCTGGCAACAGACTCCAAAGAGAGACATCTGTGGAGGAAAAAAAATGATGTTTGATGAAATGCATGTGATTAGATGATGTTCTTCAAGGATGTAAATAGGAAAAAAAGGTAACATCTGTGCTTGAATGGGGAAATTGGAGTTGGGAATCCCAGGGTTTTGCAGTGCTGAGTGCTGTGCAAGCTGCTTCCTTAGTACTTCAGATAAGAGACTTTAATGGAGAGGGAGGAAAACAACCTCGGTGCTGGCAAGTGTATTTCCAAGCTCAGTTTTCATTTGCTGATGCCTGAAAGGCTTTGTAAAGGACATGTCAGTAGCTAGGTAGGATCCTGCTGGACTTCCTTAGGAAACAAAGCTGTAACACAAGCATTCATCTTCTGGACCAGCCTGTTTGAATGGCCGCTGTGTCTGAGCAGCCAGGCGTAGAGTGAATGCATCTGTAGCTGCTGCTTTCCACCACCCCTCACCAAAGAAATTCTGGGAAAAAAATTCTATTTCCAGTGAAATCAAGCCCCAAATGCCTGTAAACGTCATTAGGAATTCACCCTGATGAGCATCCTTGTTGCCCAGCTTTAGTTTCTCCTTCTACATGAGAGGCTGACTCAGGCTCTCATATAAACTTCATTGTGAATGTAGCTTCAGTACTAGTAGATCTGTTGCAACTCTTGCCTGCAGTTTTGTTACAGTCCATACTGGTGGTCTTGTAATTCAGGTGTTTCAGGCCTGACTGTTCAGTACCAGCCCCTTTTGCAACCATTTTCAATCACTTGTCCCTCAGGAATATGCATTTTAATAATACTGCTGCACAGTAGCTCCGGGCACAGCTCTTCTTTCCATTCTGTTCTAGGATGGTTTGGGGAAAGGAAGAAAATATCTGTGTTGTCTTCTTTAACATGATGTGGTGAAACATAAAATCTAATAACATCTCCATGTCTAGAAATAAACCTCTTGCATGTCCAGTCCAATTTGTGCAGAATTAAAGCATTTTAACAAAGGGGACGGATGACTTGACCTTTGTGCTCAAGAAAAAATGGAAAGCTATAATCCTTTTTCAATGGCTGTTAAAATGAACTATTCCCCTCCTTCCATTAGTGCCCTCGTCCTAGTCTCCTTTCAGAATATATGCAATCAGCAGCAGCTCAGGAGAAGGATGATTTGTAGAAGGACAGCTCGTTGTGTTCAGAGCCTTTTTACCCAAACCTCCATACATCAGATCAGTTTGCTGTGGCAGAAATAGAGAGCACAATCTTGGGAGAATAATTGCAACACATGAATATGAAAAATAAGGGATATAACAATTGTTCCTACTTTTGATTAAACTCTTTAACACGTGAAGGATCATAGGGAACGATGCTGCTCATCCACATGGCTGTTAGGAGGCAGAGGTGTATGGTTGGAGACCAGTGCTTGGGCTTGAACCTTCACCAGTGCCGATGGGGACGGGAAAGGGAGGTGGTGGGGACAAGAAGGAGAGCGCTTTGGGCAAGAGGAGCAGCTCACAAAGCAGTGCTCCTCAGTGGTACAACCAGCCATGGCACCATGCAGCCCATGGTGAGCAGCTGAAGAACCACACCAAAGCTGCCAAACTGCGTTTGGCTCTGGGAGAGATGCTGCTTTCTGCTCCAGGCGCCGAGTGCCAACTCCACAGGCTGCTTTTTCTGAGTTTAGGGAAACAAAGAGGGACAGTAAGGAAAAATGGGCCATGCAAAAGCAAACTGATGTGGTTGGCAAGAGAGTGAAGCCTGGGGAAAGCAGCCGAGGAGAAGAGACGGTGTAGACGCATCCCTGTTCAGCACTTGCATTACTGAGTCCTTCCACTGTATGCCTGCATGGGGCTTGTCATTATATTTTTTAAATGTGGCTTCTCATGCAATCAAAACCAGTTATTGAGGAGGTGGAGAGGAATCTGAAGCTGCAGCTGCGATGCAAAAATACGGTCTAATGCTGAAGCATGGGATTTGTCAAACTGAGTTTGCTTTCTCTGTGGCTCTGGGGGCATTTGGAGAATTTGTGGGAGGATTACGCCCTGCTCTCAAGATCAACGGGAGTGAATGGTGCCTAGGAGTGGTGCTGGGATGGGTGGGTGTCCTCAGGCAGGGATGATGTGCGAAAGCTTGGGGAAGGTTATTGTAGGTTTTTATCATAGAGTTGTTCAAAATCTCTTCCCTAATGCACTGACAGCTGGGTTTCAAAGGCACTTTTTTCTGTTGTCAAATATGAGCTAAGAATTTATAGACAAATGGGAGAGTTTTAATTACTATAAATGGATTAAATTATTTTGTATACGTGCCCGTAAGCTCTGTCCCTCATGTTCAAAGTGTTTAATTTTATTAAGAACATTCCTTTTTGTCTAGATATAGCTACATTTATTAATTCGATTTTTTGTTTTTAAAAGCTGCCTGGCTCTGAATTTACTTTTGAATCCACAAAATAGAAGCCCCAGAGCTGGGAGTGTATTTTTTAAGAGCTTGATAGACTAAGTGCTAAACTCACTAAATGTTTAGCAAAGACTAAATATAATCACTATATTGGTTGGAAAACCTGACCTAAATGATTTGATGCCCGTGATGCATGCACACAAAATGGATTTCCACTGTTAAAGGCACTAACAGATGACCTTTACATGAGATCTCTGGGTGGACTCACTAAATAAACCGAGTCCCTGTCCCAGGTTTGCACCTTCAGAAAGCTCTGGTAGTACCAGCACCGGTGGTGTTTCTGCCTACTCGGAGGACACAGAGCCTGGAGGAGATCTCATCCTGGAAAGGCGGTTGCCAGTCAGCGCAAGTGGTTGCAAGGTTAAGAGCTCTGGGATAACTCGTGTCTCCAGCGATGCTCCGCTGTGGGATGCCGATCATGCTTAACTGAATAAAAGAGACACTTGCAATCTTGCTGGTTAGCCAGCAATTCCTCTTGGAAGAAAATAGATCCAGACAGCACGGTGCAGAGATCTGGGAGAGAAAACCCAGTGCTGCTGGGCAAGGAAAACCAGACTGACCCTGTGCTGCCCAGGGGCAAAAGGAGCGTCAGTGAGAACAGGAAAGGGACCTGTGCCTGGGGGATGCCTGAGGCACTCCAGAGGAGACCTGTGGCATCCTGACCTGATGTCGCAAAGCCACAGTTCCTGGGACAAAGGATTTCCAGGTGATGGATGTCACACTGCAACAGATTTCTGCCAACATCTGCTGGGCTGGGGTTAGGGTTGAAGCTAAAGCAGTTGTGTGACCTTGAATAGAGTCTGCCATGTTGGTGCCATGTTTTAGTTTACTGTTTGCCACAGCGTTGGCATCTCTTCCTGTGTCGGTGGCCCCCTGTAATTGCCTTTAAGCAGCAGCGTATAAAATCCCTTTTGTTCTGGTGAGCAGGGCGGCCCTCCGCTACTCCTCTTTCATCCATACGTGCACCCTTCAATGGATTCCTGGCCAAGAGCAGCCGCTAAACAACCAAACACTGAAGCCAAGCAAAGTGCTTAAAGCAGTCTTTGGCATGTGCGGAAAGTGTTGAGCCTTGTCCCCGCGAGGGCAGCTCCGGCAGCAAGGTGGGAAACAGCACAAGGAGGTTTCCCCGGTGCTGTCGGATAATGCTGATGGCCTCTGCGGGAAACTTGTGGCTGGAGGGAGCTTCTGCATGTTGCACAACAGACTGCAAATGGTAATGACATCTGTGCGCTGCCAGCACGGCTTAGTCAGGCTGTTGGCTCAGGATGCGGAGTTTTTTATGGGAAAGGGGTGGATTTCTGCCACTTTGCATCAAGTGTCATGAGGTTACGTGGGGATGCGTTTTCGCTGCTAGTGCTTGACGCACTGTGGCTGGGTCTTGACTTGTTCAGAGCCAGTATGAGGCTCTTTTCTACAGTCTCCTGCCTTTTGCTTCTTACCTTTTCTTTCTCTCACTTCTCCCTGCCTGTGGTGATTTCTGCTCCCCTGGGTGCCATCAGTCAAGGTGCAGAAGAGCGACCACCACCACTGCTGGGACCCCTGTGTCAACTACTGTCACACCCACCACCCCGGGCACTGCAAGACGCCCACGTGGAACCAGACATCTGGACAAGATTACTGCAAATGTAACCCCAGCGCACGGCGTTGCCCCCATCCCTGCATGTGTTCGTTCATGTTGTGCCCCTCCATTTCTGTAATACCCAACTCCATAGCTGCAAGTGTCACTCCTTTCCTCCTTGGTCACCTGGGGCTGCTTTCACAGGTCCAGTGCTGAGGTGCAAAATCAGTATCCGCAACCCAGCATGTGCAGATCTGGTAACTGCAGTGAGAGCGGTGTGCTGGGCAGACCTGTGCTCCCATCCTCTACCCCCATACCCCAGTGCCTGGTTTCATATGGCCAAGGGCAAAAATGAGTTGCTGTGGGACAAGGAGGGCAGCTCTGGTGGCGTGTAGGAACGTGATACATCAATGCATCCAGCTCAGCCCTGGTGCCACACAACAACGGCTGCTTCAAAATCTGTCTGTAAGCTCACCTCTTGCAGGAAGCAGGCTCTGTTCAGCCCCAGGTTTCTTGTCTTATAACGGTAAAGACAGGGAGGAGATGTTACACTGTGTGTTGAGAAGAAAACGAGTCAGCCCAGTTGGCCAGCCGCTCAAGTTCAAGCTGTGGTTTCTTTTTCTGTGTATTTGAGGTTTGTTAGTGCTATCGTGCCAACCTGCTGTTGGCTGCCCTGCATCCATGATGCGCTTCTCACCTGGTGGCCAGGATGCTGCAGTGACAGGCAGCCCAGTCACTGGAGTTGCTGCACACCAGACAGTAATGTCCATCTTGAGCCCAAGCCCGCTCTCACAGCTCTCCTGGAGCTGCAAGCCCAGGACAAGGTTCTCACCTCAATCTTGAGCCCTGGAGCTGGGAAGAAGGAGCTAGTCCAGACACATTAGGTGTTTGATGAACGCCCATTAGATGAACCCGCTGCCGCTCTTCTCTGCGCACATCCTTAACACGCTCTGTATTTCCCCAGCTCTGGTGGCTGCCAACTTCTCGTCTCCCACCATGAACGCACAGGGCTTCCCCTGCCAGAACTCGAACACCCTACCTCGCAGCTCCCACCCCATGAGCCCCCGCACCACCATGCTGAGGAGGAGGCAGAAGAAGAAGGAGCACAAGAGCTCATGTAAGAGTGGTGGTGGGCTGGGTTGGACGGGGCGTGCATGCTTGCCTTGCTGTCCTTATTGTCCTTATTGTTGGCCGTTAGCTGGGGTAGGACCGCTCATCTCAGCTCTCAGTGCCTTCCTCATCCTCAGTGACTGTCCCCACCACTGTCAGACCGAGGACTGTGTTCAGACCTGCTACGTTGACCATGGCTACCCTGACCTTCTGCCTCTCTCCTCCTCTCAGTGTCACTGGCCTCCAGCACGGTGGGTCCTGGCGGGCAGATAGTCCATACGGAGACAACAGAGGTGGTGCTCAGGGGAGACCCTTTGAATGGCTTCGGACTTCAGCTCCAGGGAGGCATCTTTGCTACTGAAACCCTGTCTTCCCCACCTCTCGTCCGTTTTATTGAGCCTGACAGCCCGGCAGAGAGGTTAGAGACCTTGCCCTTGGATGCTGATGGTGCTGCTGCTGAACATTTCATGGTTTGGTTTGTTTTCTCTCCTCAGAGGCTCATTTAGATATTTACTATCATCCTTGTAATATCTCCCATTCTTCACTGGGCATGGTTTACTGTCACTGCCATTTCTGCACTCGTCGGCTGACCGCGGCCTCCCTCGCATCCCAGGTGAACGTCTTGGCACCAGGCTGCGGCTGTTCTGGGAGGAGGAGGAAGGGAGCGTGTGTCTGTGTGAGAGAGCCATTCCCATTCCTTTTTTTTTTTTTCTCCTTTCTCTTTGAAAGATAAAGCTTTTGCCTGGGTGCAAAAAGGGGAAAGATCTAAACAAGGGGGCCCAGCAAAGTGTTTTCTGCCTGGTTTCATTGTAGCAGAGCCCAGCTATATGAATTGGCCTAAAAGCAAGGTTTTCAACCGCAGAGGAGGGCTCTGGTTGAGGTGCTGCATTTAAGCACTCTTGCTTTTGGCTCTATAATGCTAGGAAAAGAGCAGAACGGAGGAGCAGCATTAACTGCTGCCTGTCACCCCCCGGGAATACAGGGAGCAATGACTCCTCCGGCGGCCAAGCCTCAGCTCAGGAGCTCTGGCTGCTCTGGCTAAACTTTTTCCAATACCTTTGCTGACTGGATTTAAAGTCTGCTGGAGTGTCTGTGCGCTACGATGTAGATGCTCTCTAGCAAGGTTTTTCGTACTAAATGGACCAGGTCCTAGCATGACTTGAGCTCTTGGGGTGGAAAGAAGAGCTGGTTTTGTTAGGCAGATGAAATAGTGAGGGGTGAGCGAGCTGGCACTTATGCCCCCGTGCTGGTTTCTCTTCCCGCCTGTGATTTCCACTCATGGTCCGTCCTGCCTAGGGGTGCCTGAGGTGCAGAGAGACCCTTCCTTGGGAGGAGAAGTCTCCAAGGGCCTCATCAGCATGTGCTGATGGTTTGGTGTCCCCAGGCCAGCCTGGGAAAACAGCGCACGGGGGAGTTGTATGTCAGGGAAAGCACCTGCAAAGGGAAATGCAAGTCCTTGCCGTGCGGAGCGGTCTCTGTGCGGGAGCCTCTCCAGGCGGCCGATGCAGAGGCCGGGAGGAGCACGAGTGCCTGGCGCTTGTGTTTGGGGGGGGACAGGGACAAGGGGCTGGCACAGGAAAAAGAGTTGTCCTGGGTGATACAGGTTAAGAGAGATTTCAAAAGCCTCTTATGTCTTTTGTTTGTTTGTTTCCAAATAGGGTTTAAAAAGGAAAGTGATGGTGTTTTGATTTTTTTTATCGTCTATTACCAGGGTGAATTTGGCTCACATTGCAAAGCACCAAACTCCTTTTATAAATCAGGCAGCAACAAAGCCTGCTGTCCCAGGGGAGGAGGGAGATGTGCTGAAATCTGCCTGGCTTTGTTTTATCCTCTTGCCAAGCCTGGAGCAAAAGCAAAGCTCGCAGTGCAGTCTGTCTTGGCTCTAATGTGTCACACACGCTGCTCTCCCTTTCGGCTGCCCACCCAGCAGGATTCACGCTCTCCTGGGTGCCGCTTTCTGGCGACAGGGAGCAATCCGCTCTGCGTTTGCAGCCTGGATTTGATTTGGGGATTAAATATCTGCTGTGTATTTCTTCCTTTCCTAGACCATGCTGCTTTTCCCAGCTGGCAGAAAAAACACTGTCTTTCCTCCCCGTGTTGAAGTGATAAGTGTACTGGGTTTGCAGTGAGGTGAAAAAGGCAGTTTTATGTTTTCGTTTCACTTTTTGTTTCTTGCTATCCCACAGAGCTTGCTTGCTCCATCCTTCCTAGATACCTTATTCCCTGCCCTTGAGAGGTTCTGCTGTAACTGCAGCCCAAGACGTTAGAGCCATTTTTCTCCCCTTTACCAAGCTGGGCTCTTGGCTGAGGCTGGGCTATGCTCTTTCTTGTGCTGCAGTTGTTGCCCTTTGCAAAAGAGGGTGAGCGTTGGGGATACAGGGATCAGGCTCGGCAGCCTGGGTCTGTCCCGCATGTTTACACGCTCCTGTGCAAGACCTGTGAATCTGAATGTGCTGTTGCACAAGAGCATGTTCCACAATCGCTTTGTCCAGCTGGCTTGCTGTGGAGGAGCTGCCTCTTGGGTGTCTAGCAAATTGGAGTGCTACCAGGGAGGAGGACGGCATCACCCTCTTTTCAGGGAGGTTGGGCTGCCTCACATTTATTATCTGGTTTGTGCTAGCTTGTGGCAGGCGGTTTGAAGCAAAAGCTCTCACCTCCCTGACTTGTGATTTGTTTTACAGCCAATAGCCTCTAATAGACCTCCCTCCCCACCTGTTGTTTTGTTTCCTGGACGCAGGATGAAGCCTTTGGGCTCCAAATGAGACAGTGATTCAGCCCCTGTTATCAGCAGGGAAGGTGGAGTAGAAGATGCCTGATGTCCCCTTTTGGCTGCCTTGAAACACGCAGCTTTTGTGTCCTTCCTCCCCCAGTTGTCATTGACAGCAGTGGGAGAGTATCTGGCTTCTCCATCGCGGTATCCGAAATCAATGCTTCCT